ATAGACCTCCATTATTTGAATGTCAGCAGACAGCAAGAAGCCTCCCAGATCTCCAGATGCATTTGAGATATCAAAAAAGTACTCCAGAGTTTTGTTCAGCATGGGGATGAGTAGAAAATGAAGGCTAATCATGTTTTGGGTGTACTATTCCTTTAAGGTAATTAAAGGTAGTCAGCAAACAAGTTGTTTTAAATCCAGAATTTAAAATCTATGAAACTAGAACTTGGCTCTTAGCCCTGTTGTTCTGGCTCTGACTGCTGCAGTGTTTTCTCACTCTGCAGTATAATTGAATTGACCTGATCATTAAGGACTTAGCAGGGTTAGGGACCGTTTTACTGATCTGGAAAATTCATCCCAACGTCACGCTGTCTGGGTGAAATGTGTGGTTTCCAGCTCAAAGCTGTCTTTATGCTGGGCTCTCTGAGCTGAAGGACAGCCAGTGTGAGCAGCAGCTTCATGGATTCCTTCACATGGCTCTGCAGTGTGTGCTCAGCCTTGTGTGCACACCAACTCGGATCACATCGCTCTGTTCCTCCTCCTCCTCCTTCTTCTCCTCCCAGATTGTCCAAACAAGCCGGAGCAGACTGGCAGGCGCCAGCGCGCTGACGTCACCCATTCATCCGAGCCTTGACGCCTGTCAGCCTGGCGCCGCTCGGGCGGTCTCCATGGAGATTTCAAACAAGAGGGCCAGCGCTCTGCAACTCCTCCATTCACCTGTGTGGAGCCCTGAGAACAAACCGGCTCTGGAGCCTTTTTTTTCTCTCTCTCTCCTCCATTTATCACCTTAAAGCAGCGGGATGAGATTACCGCCCAGCGCACCTGCGGAGCAAAGCGCTGTCAGCCGGTTAACAGCCGGCTAACAAAGGAGGAAGGCTCCTCATTATAACAGGGAATAACTGCTGCATTCCCACAGACAGCCCACTTTCACTCCTGTGGTTGCTATACAGAGTTAAAGCATGCCTTTTATTTCATCTGCAGGAATTTTCAACTAGATTTGCACTAAAGTTTATAAGATCAACACAAAGTTATTTATACACCACAGATTAAACATAGGCTATAACACCACAAAGAAACAACAGATTTTTATAGAAACATGCATGTTAAAGGTTTATTTACTAAACCAATAAACAGAACTGGATTTTAAGCAACATAAAATCATGTTTTAAGACCCAAGTTCCATTATTATTATTTTTCATTCCTGAATAAATATGTATTAATAAAAGAAACATTGCTGATTATAGATTAAAGCAAGGCATCCACTCCTAAAATTAGGTATACTCGATTGATACAGGGGGCTGCTCAGTGGACCAGTGAGCAGCGCTGCTGCCTTGCAGCAAGAAGGTTCTGGGTTTGATTCCTGGCCCAGGGTCTTTCTGCATTGAGTTTGCATGTTCTCCCTGGGTCCAAAAACAGGTTCTAAATTCTCCTTAGGTGTGAGTGTGTGCATGAATGTTTGTTTGTCTGTCTCTGTCCTGGATGTACCCTGCCTCTTGCCTGTAGACAGCTGGAGATAGGCACCAGCACCCCTCGTGACCCCAGCAGGGATTAGCATGATAGAAAAGTGGATGGATGATTGGAACAGCAACATTTCTGTTATTTAGCAAACTGCTTCCCGGAACATGCATCTTTCCCTAAATGGGTTAAATACAGGTTAGATTTAAGAGCCCCAACATAGGTCCAACATAGGTTAAATTTCTTCTGCAAGGCCACAGAGTTAGTTGAAAAGCATAAACCACAACATGATTTGGACAGTTTTGGCCTAGTGGTTTGCATTGCGGTTGTGTTCTGAGAAGGTCCCACGTACCCAGTTCGATTCCCCACAGCCTGCACCCTGGGTGCCTGAGCAAGAGTTTTAACCCCACACTGCTCCCAGGCGCCGCACCATGGCAGCCCACTGCTCCCCAAGGGAATGGGTTAAATGCAGAGAGTGAATTTCCTCATTGTGGGACAATAAAGGGATTTATATGATTCTTAGTATTGTATTGTTTAGGTTAAAATATAGGATATTGTTGACCCATTTTTGGTCCTTTTTTAATCCTGCATGGAGGTCTGCCAGCCTGAACAATCTGACCAGGATTCTTACACATAGAAGGAAAAGATTGCACAGCAGGCTATTCAAGTTTTTTTTTTTAGAGTGCGTGAAGAAGTCAGACTGCTGTCTACAGATCTGAATCCAAATGTTCATATTACTTTTGTTGAACATATGAATGTTATTCTCTGAATTTTTCATCCTGTTACACTTTCAACTTTTAAAATTATTAGTATTACTCTGAGCAGAAAAAAAAAACAATTTCTCCTTTACAACCTGACTATAAGAAATTATAGTTCTAGCCTGCG